TTCCGTTTTGTTCCTGGGGGGAACCAAAGGTGCCTGAGCAATCCACCCACCCAATACTTCATTGCAGTATTTTACATTGCGGCTTTAAAAACCTCACGCAGTCCAAAAGAATACCATTGTAGCAGCTCTTTTTTGCTTCCTGTATATATGTCGTATTGGCCTGCCATTCCTCTCTGAAGGAACCCACATTTTGAATCCTTCTCTGAGCTAATTACCTTGCATACAAAACCCCCCAATTTGAATCAACCACTCAACATTAGAAAATGTAAGAATTAAGGTGTCAGTTTAGCCCCAGCTGATAACTCAACTGGTAACCCAGCCACTCGCTCGTTCCTTCCCTCCGCAGTGGGATAGGGGAGCGAGTTGGAAGGGTAAAAGTGAGGAAACTTGTGGATAGGGATAAAGACTGTTTAAAAGGTAAAGCAAAAGCCATGCGTGCAAGCAAAGCAAAATACAGAATTAATTCCCTGCTTCCCATGGTCAGGCAGGTGTTCAGTCATCTCCAGGAAAGCCGGGCTCCACCACGCATCATGGTGACTTGGGAAGACAAACGGCATCACTCCGAATGTCCGCCGCTTCATTCTTCCTCCCTCAGCTTTATCTGCTGAGCGTGACATCCTATGGTGTGGGACATCCCTTTGGGCACTTGGGCTCAGCTGTCCTGGCTGTGTCACCCCCAGCTTCCTGTGCACCCCCAGCCTGCTCGCAAGTGGAGGGGGGCAAGGAGTGGAAAGGGCCTTGATCATGTGTAGGCACTGCTCAGCAGTGAGAAAACATCCCTGAGTTATCAACGCTGTTCTCCGCAGAAATCTAAAGCAGAGCCCTGTACTGGCTACTGTGGAAAAAACTTAATTATCCCAGCCAAAAGCAGCACATAAAGGTAACCATGAAGCCTTCATGCAGATTACCGTGACTATAGATGACAGCCTTTAATTATGTGACCACATACTTCTTTCCCCTTCTACAGTTCCTGAGGGAGAGAGTAGACTTGTCAGGAAAGCAATTAAGTAATCCGAATGCTAGCATTTTTGTTTCGTTTTCACAACAAAGAAGAATATTACTCAATAGCAAATGTAACAACATTTCATGTAGACCTTTAGCAAGGAAACAAGTTTATCTTCTGTGCAATCCCTGAAATTGAGAGGGTATAATTTTATGGTGTTATGCTGCAATTAACACACCGTCGACTTGCAGAGAATGTTGCCTTTTCATTTGCAGAGGAAATCCCATGTTACATCTGGTTCTGTGTCGTATATTTGTTTGGATTCACAGCACCACCTGATGGCTGAAGGCCTGTTTCCTAGCTTGGGGATGCTGTGCATCCCTTGAATTCAGTTCCTCTTAGAAATGAAAATAAGGGCACGCAGTGGTGCCATGTCTGTGTTCTGCAGGGCACGAGCAAACTGACTGTGAATGCATAGCAAGTTCCTCTAAAGTTTTGTGTCTCTGCCTTGGAATATTAAAACAAATATTTAAAATTTTTTTTTTCATATTTAGGCTCCTTGACCAAGGTTTCAAAAAAGATTCATGTTACTCGTAACCCCTTCCAGGGAGTTACCTGAAGCGATAAAAACCCCAGATATGTAGAAATTCCCTCTGGTAGTGTGGTGGAGCCCAAAGGTTTGACTGAGCCTGGAAGCTCCCGTTAGGACCAGTGAGTAGCTGTGGCAGTGGGGGGAAAGAGAGGTGCCTGCGGGGCCGGGCTGAGGAGCTGACCCCCGTCACTGCTCTAAAGTGCTTGTGCTGCTGCAAGTCAAACTGCCTATCAAAGCACCTGATTTTACAGGATCGTTGGATGCAAAAATATCTTGACATTGGCAGCACTTCCAAACGTCAAATTCTGATGCAGTCCACAGTCTGCAGAACTGGTACGAAAAAGCCAAGGTAAAAAGAGAAGAAAGTCAAAGGAGGTGAGCCTAAGCAAGAGTGTCCCTTGTAAGCGCTCCCTGGCATGGAATAGCCTGAACGAGGTTTTCATTTTGGTGAGCTTGGGGGAGAGGAGATACGTAGGAGGAAGCAGATTTGTGCTCGGCACAGCCATTAACTCTAATGGGTTATCCATGCAAATCCTCCACATGGTGAGAGGGAATAAATCTCTGCGTGTAAATCCTTAATGCAAGAATATTTGTTAAATACAGAATAGTGTGAAATCAATTCCAACAGCCTTCAACCTTCCTCCTCTTACTAAACCATTATGTATGATTTTATTATTAAATCATAAGCAGATGCTAAAGGAATTTATGGAATGAAATTAGAGTAAAATGACTGGGCTCTGCAGTGTTTGTGGCTTAGTGTTCAAGCACAGTTCTTCAAAGTTTTGTGGGTTTTCCCTCTTTTACTGGTTGCAGATTTATATCAAAGCAAGTGTTGAAAGTTACTCGAATTTATAAAGATTTCTTTATATACATGATCTGAATTTTTTTTTAAACTCTCAGTGATCTTCTTACAGAGCCAAATTTTGGTTGATGGGAATTCTGTCCAAAAGAACGGCAGGATCCCAGTGAGATTTATGCATAGGCTTGATGTGAAGTTTGTAATAGGATTGAATGTAATGGAAACATTTCCCAAATGGAACCTAGGAATGAATATAGTCCAGGAAAACCTGTTTGTAGCATTTGCCATTGCTAGAGAAAATCCTTTTGTTTTCTTCACTGCCTCTCAAGCACATTTCTAATTATTGCAAAATATATTCTGAGTGTAATGAAGAGCTCTATTTTACATGCTTGAAATAAGAGGATGTCTCCCTTGATACCTCAATTCTTGAATGTTGAGGTGATTTGCAGGTGTCCTGGCCTCCTTAATTACCGTGCTACAGAAGCAGGCTGTTTTCAGATGCTTCCAGGAATACAGCAACTCCAGCTTTGCAGTGGTTAAGCTTTAACCTGCAGCTTTGTAGTCTTGTATGGGTGGTTGCAAAAGGAGCCAGCGGTCAGTTTGGATTTTCTTTGCTGCCTGCCTGTGGGACCTGTGCAGGCCTTAAGAAAATCCAGCAAGGCTGTGTGTAGGAACTGCAGTTTGTCACATTTCTGCGCCATGCTTGTAGTTGCTGCTGTTTGCGCAGTGAACACTTCAGGTGAAATTTTTCGTGACAAGATAAGGAAAACTGATGCTCCACCTGGATTATTTGATGCACTGGCCAGAGAGACAGAATGGAGAAAGGGGAAAAAATACAGAGAGAGAAAAAGTAAACATCCTGACAAGCTACTCGCTCTAGTCTTAATCACTCTGGCAAGTATTGATCATCCTGTCTCTTGTTCAGAGTGATGGTTATAGCAGCACTACACCCTGTGTGGGACCTCCACACCAGCTTGTAGTTCAGTGATCCCACACTAAGCAGGGGCCTCTCAAGCGCAGTGCCATGCCTCGCTACCTCCCTGCCTTTGGGTGGTGCGTGTGCTGTGGATGCCCAGTGCTGAAGGTGGTTTTGGGGTCTGTTACTTACAGACAGAAACTTTGAGGTGGCTTGGAAGCACCGTACCTGTGCACATTTCCTGCATCTCGGACAAAATCATAAGGGGGCAAAAGGGGAGGTGAGATCAGGGGAAGAGATGCTGTTAGGGAAGGGGGAGTTGGGGTGAGCTTCCCGCTGTACTGCTCATGCGGATGTATCACTCATGCAGCCACTAAAACACACCATTTCAGGCAAGATACCCTAAGGATTACATGTATGAAAAACAGATTATTGTACACAGTGACTTCCTGAACTATAATGAGCTTTACACCCAGACGAGAAGCTTTTGAGAAGCAGTGCATGGATTGTCTTATTTACTCTCTTGTGCTTAAATAATTCCTTTTGTTTTCACAGGCCGATGCTGGCTGGATGCTTTGGAACTTGCCCTGCGTTGCTCCAGCCTCTTCCGGCTCAGTGCCTCCAAGCAGGGAAAGGATGGAGAGATGAACTGCTCAAGTGATTCTGCGCATGCGGGCCTCAACCACCTCTTGCATGCAAGCCCTATCTCAGACCAGGAATTCTTCCAGTAAGACAGGACTATTACTTCTTAGTGCACAGAGAGGTGTTGCATGGCTCGCTCTTGGTCATTCTTTTAACTCCAGCATAATCTAGCCGGAGTCTACTAAGAAAACCTGCTTGAAAAGCAACCTGTATGTTCTGCTGCGTCCATCATTAAGATACAGGGTTGGAGCACGTGAGGTTTGTTGTCACCTAATGCTTGAGCACACAGACTGGGGTCTGTGCATGAACAATGTTCTTCTGTCCCCTGCTTGGGCCAGAACGCTGACTGGAGATGCTGACGTGAAAAATGGCTTGTCTGAGTACAGATAGCAGGATGTAGCTACTAGAGCAGACCTGTAGCTACACAGACACAATCACAATCAGCTAGCATGTACAGCTCTGAGTTTGATCTGTTTTTTAATAATGTGTTCTCTTTTTTAATAATACTGTGTCATAGTCAGCAGAGTGTACACACTGCATCCTTAGTTTTATAATTACTTTCTCTCTACAGGGGTTTTGAGTGACTTCCAATTTCTTCCTTGATGCATCAGATACATTTTTACATAAGTGAAAGAAGTCCCCACAGCCTTCTTTCTGTTCATATTCCTACTATTACCGCAGCATTTTGGAACAACACACATCAAAGATCTGTAAGCATTAAAACCCCCAGGCCTTATCTGTTGCTTATAGCTAAATAGGCAACTTCAGAAATCCCTCTGGTGTAGACACTTGGCCCTTGGAGCGGGAACTGGGAGATGCAGTGTCTATTTCTAGTTCTGCTGACACAAATTCGACTCTTACGGCTCACAGCACTGCACCATTGGCTACACAGCGTTTAGGGTAGTGGTTCTTGCATTCTGCGAAGATATGCCTTGCATAGTGGGACTTCACCTTTACATGATTTTCTTGGCCTCTATTATAACAGGGATCTGAGTCTTCTTCAGAGTGTTGAGGTTTTTTCGGTCCCATGGGGCCGAAGGGGTGACAGCGTTTTGGCCTGCCCTTTGCTCTGGAGGGCTCTGGTATTCCCAGCACGTATTCTCCGATCCTGCTCTTTAGGGTTTTAGCTCGAGTTTGAAGGAGAGCTTTCCTGAAGAGCAACGGCAGAAGAGAAGGAAATCTGATGTGTTACCAGGGCATGTGCCGCAGTACTTGTGCAAATGCCCTTGTTGTTCTTGGGCTTCTTCCATTGTACTTTCTTATTCCTTTCTGCCTAAGAGGGAGTCTTTTAGGACTGTGTTCAGTGAGGTAATGAATCCAGGAGTGGACTTGCATTTTCAGCTAATGGATGTGTGTACAAAAATCCAGTATTGAAGTGGAGTGTGTGGCACCGAGAACATTCAGTCAGACCCATGGCTACGGTAAGGAAGTGCAGAATCACAGGATCGTCGGAGTTGAAAGGTCCAAACCCCTCATTGCCCAGAGCACATTGCACAGGCTGTATCCAGGCGGGCTTTGAAAGTCTCCGGAGAAGGAGACACCACAACCTCTCTGGGCAGCCTGTTCCAGTGCTTTGTCACCCTCACAGTAAAGAAGTTTTGCCTTGTAATTAGATGGAATTTCCTGTGTTCTAGCTTGTGCCCATTGCCCCTTGTCCTGTCACTGGGCACTGCTGAAAAGAGTCCGGCTCCATCCTCCTTACACCCACCTTTTAGATATCTAAAATAGATATCATTGATAAAGTTCCCTCTCAGTCTTCTCTTCTCCAGGCTGAAGTCTCAGCTCTCTCAGCCTCTCCTTGTAAGACATGCTCCAGTCTCCCAGTCATCTTCACTGTTCTCTCTTGGACTCTCTCCAGTAGTTCCTTGTCTCTCTTGAACTGGGGAACCCAGAACTGGGCACAGTATTCCAGATGTGGCCTCACTGGGGCAGAGTAGAGGGGAAGGATGACCTCCGTCAACTTACTGGTCACACTCCTCTTGAGGCAGCCCAGGATACCATTGGCCTTCTTGGCCACAAGGGCAGATTGCTGGCTCATGATTAACTTATTTTCTCCCAGAACTCCAAGATCCTCCTCCCCAGGGCTGCTTTCCAGCAGGTCTGCCCCTAACCTGTACTGGTGCACGGGGTTGTTCCTCCCCGGGTGCAAGACCCTACATTTGCCCTTGTTGAGCCTCCTTGAGTTCCTCTCTGCCCAACACTCCAGCCTGTCCAGGTCTTGCTGGATGGCAGCACAGCTCTCTGTCGTGTCAGCCACTTCTCCCAGTCGTGTATCATTAGCAAACTTGCTAAGGGTACACTCTGTCACCTCGTCCAGGTCATTGATGGTTATGTTGAACAAGGCTGGACCCAGTACTGAGGCCTGGGGAACACCACTGGTTATAGGCCTCCAACTCAGCCCTGCACCATTGGTCGTGACCCTCTGCGCTCCGTCACTCAGCCAGCTCACTGTTCACTCATCTAACCCACACTTCCTGAGTTCCATAATGAGGATGTTATGGGGGACTGTGCCAAAAGCCTTGCTGAAGTCAAGGTAAATGACATCCACTGCTCTGCCTTCATCTAACCAGCTGGTTATGATGTCATAGAAGGCTATCGGATTGGTCAAGCATGATTTCCCCTTGGTGAATCCATGGTGACCACTCCCAATAACGTCCTTGTCTTCCGCACATTTAGTGGTGACATCCAGAACGATTTGTTCCATCAACTCTCCAGGGAGAGAGGTGAGGCTAACTAGCCTGTAGTTTTCTGAGTCATCCTTCTTGCCCTTTTTGAAGACTGGAGTGATACTGACCTTCCTCCAGTCCTTAGGCACCTCTCCTGTTCTCCGTGGCCTTTCAATGATGATGGAGAGGGACCTAGAAATAACATCTGCCAGCTTTCTAAACGCTTGTGGGTGCATCCCATCAGGGCCTGTGGATTTATGGATGTCCAGTTTGGCTAAGTGGTCTCTAACCCGGTCCTCCTCTACCAAGGGAAAGTCTTTGTCTCTCCAGACCTTTTCTCTTCTCTTACCACCAGGGACCAGGATTTGTGAGGGCAGGCTTTAGCAGTGAAGACCAAAGCAAAGGCATTTAATAACTCCACCTTCTCTGTGTCTTCCACCACTAGGGCATTCACCTGATTCATCAGCGTGCCCACATTTCCACTAGTCTTCCTTTTCTTATTGATATACTGAAAAAAAACCTTGCTTGTTGTCTTTGATACCCCTTTCCAGATTTAATTCAGGTGGGCCTTAGCTTTCCTCATTGCATCCCTGCATTCTCTGACAACATTCCTTTATTCCTCCCAAGTGGTCAATCTTGTTATCCGTGTTCTGTAAGTTTGCTACTTCGATTTGAGTTTTCCCAAAAGACCCTTACTTATCTATGCAGGTCTTCTGCCTGTGCTTGATTTGTCTAATCATAGAGATGAAGATAAAGTTAAAACTCTATTAAAATATTTCTTCAAAATATGATGTGTAAATGGCACTTAAATGATGCCTTTGTTTCACCTCTTAGTTGTTCTACATAAAAAGCCCTCTTGAATTAGAGGCCTAGGCAGTAGCACACGTGGTAGGACAGAGTACCCACAGTTGGAACCAGATTTTTCTGACAGGCTCAGGTTTTAGCTGAGCCTGGTTCAAGCTGGGTGTCCAGTGTCTGGTCATCTAGACTCTCCTTTCTGAGTCCTACCACTTAACATGTGCACACACTTCCCCAGTGCTTAAAGCCTGGTTGCAGGACAGGGGAACATCTTGCTGCCATCCCTGAAGGAATAAAGAATATTTAAACAAGGGAGAATGCAAAACCAAAACCGTGCGAGTGCTGAGCAATGGATTTTTGGTTTGCCGCTGACAGTGGCTTCCTCATAGGGCTTCAATCATTCTAATTAAATGCCTTCCCTACAGGGAATCTTACCAATTAAATTGGCATACTGTTGTTAGGGGGCCAGTTAATTACATTTAACTCTATATTCAAATTAGCCAAACTACTCTGTCAAGAAAAGAAAAAGGAAAGGGAGATGATGGATATTATAGGGAGAACGAAACCCAAGGGAGTTGGCAAACATGAATTTTCCATTGAGCCAAAGTTGCATTTGTCTGCTGGCTGCTTTGCTCCTTTCCTGCTGGGAAAGAAGTCAAGATTATATAGCCATTTTAAAATCCATGTCAGTAATAGCATATAAAACTGAGAGGCAGAGGAGTGTGCCAGTGAATCAAAGGCTGAAGTACTGCATAACTCAGTGATTTTAGACAAGAGGCCTGTAGGGCACCAGGCACTCTTCTTTTTAGTATGAAGTTGTATTTCTTGTGGTTTCCATGTCTTACCTCCAGCAACCCTAGGAATCTGGCTCGTTTACTTGTTTGACAAGAGCCAATGTTTTGGTTTTGCTTTGGGCAGAAGCGTGGTATCAAACCTGAAGAAGTCCTGGTCACTGACTGAAGTTTCCAGGAACGTCACTAGAGAACAAAGCATTGGTATAAGACAGTTCCAATATGCTGAAGCAGTAAATTAGCAGTGAAAAATGCCAAGTTATTCATATTCATGCTGGGAATCTGCTGCTGACTTTTAGCATAGTCATTCCCTTCCAGCTTTTAAAGCCTGGTCCAAATCCTATTGGAGGCTCTTGGGAAGTCTTTAGACTGTTTTACTTCAAGCCCACAGCATGGGTTTTTTTTTTTTTTTTAGCGTATCGTATGTGTTCTGTGACAGTTCTGTTTGGAGGAGGAGAAGAGCCTGGCTCCACTTCAGCATCTCAAATTTGTTTCTCAGAATGAGGAGCTTCTGTTTTTCCTTTGGTTCCCCAGAGCATCTCCTTGGCTCTGGATGTGTTAAGTCTTGCCTTATTTGTGGCTGGTGGGTAATTGATGCACAGTTGAGTGGGATTTCACGTGAATTTAATTCCCACTTGGGCTGAACTTGAAATCCTTAAAAATAATGGGGGTGAGCAGAAGGAAGTAAGAAAAGAGTAATTTGTTGCACTGAAACTTCAAGTATCTCCCAAATGTGAGGCAGGTGACACTGAAAAACACTTGCTCTTCTTACAAATGTAAAACAGAAACAAGTGCTACTTCTCAGCCATGAAACTGCACTTTGAAGCATTTTTGCCTCATGGAGAAAACTTTCACTAGGTAAGGTAGCATAGCAACCACAGACAAACCCATACTTACCTGAAAAAACGGTACTGAAAAATTAAGAAATAAGTTAGGCATTTAGATGACTAGCAACTAAAAGCTAATCACTTCCTGATCCTACCATCTAGGAAGTATCTGTGCTGAGGAATCGTGGAATAGTCTCTCTAAACAACTCCCTCCTCACCATTTTTCTGCTTTCTTATCTCAAACTCATGCATGTGCTATACGCTGTGCCTCCAGTGTGTTTGGTCACAGTCCAGTCACAGTCCAGTCATTACACTTGCTGGTTGCTAGGTAAGCAGTGAAGGCAGGTAATGTCAAACAGCAGATTACCAATGCTGGAGTATAGTAATAATTGACTCTGGTTTATGATCTTATTTGTATTTTACAGTAAAACTGTAAATGAAAAATCTTGTAGTTTATATATATACACATAGACATATACGCATACATACATATATATATGAATGGTGTTAAAAGAAAGATTTTCTGAAGGCACAGAAAGCTGTAGACAACACTTCCAAAAGAACTATAGAAACTGAGCTTCTCCAGAAGCTGAGCTGTGACTGTCACAGTGTGGCTTACTTGGCATAGTAAACATCATCAGCTTATTTCAGCGTGTAGTTGGAAGGTGAGATCTCCTGAAAGTTGATGCTAGTTCTGTGTTCTGATTCTTCTGTTGTTTTTTAAATCTAGCCCTGACTAGCAATACCTAATGATTTTTTTAAAAATAAAAAAATAAGAGTGGAAACTTTGAACATTAATCAATAATCACAATTGGAACGTGCCCAGAAAGGCCTGAGAAAAGACCTGTCATGGAGAGATTTAAAGCTTGTGGAGCTGTGTGCCACACTTTGCAAAGAGCAGTTTGGAGGAGAGGATTTTGATGGAAAACACATCTCGCTGTTTCTGTGATAAAACCCTGCCATTCAGGAAATCGATGCCTTACCCTCGTCTGGGCTGCACTCCCTGTTTTGAATCCTGGGCAGTGTTTTTACCTTATCTAAAAATGCCTTAAATAATCTGGTTTTGTAAATTGAAGCAAGTAATGAAATGTGCATTGCAGTTTGAGTGAATCAGCCCTGGAGAACCACCACCATTTGGAAAATGATGCTTTTTCGGACAAGTCAGAGAGAGATAACGTAGAAGAATCGGAGAATGAAACACATGAGAACAGCCGGAAGACAAACGAAAGCGAGAGTGATCAGTCAGAAATCCATGGAGAGGTCTCTCCGGGAAGGAAAGGGACGACTTACATTGAACAGATCTATGAGGAATTTGGGGAGGTAAAAGAAAAAAAATTATTTTAATCACTGCCTGTTTCTGTTAAAATGTCTCTCTTCGTAGTATTTGTCATTCAGCCTTTTAGACGTATGGCAGTTCAGAACCAAGTTTGTGAGTTCCAGTGTTTTACACATAAAGCAATGCACAGCTTTCTGCTAAATTATGTTGAATTATCATGTGCTCTAATAATAATGCATTATGAACATCAACACCACGACTGTGCTTTGGCGTGTTTCCAGCATCAGCGATTACTTTAACCAGTTACTGCATTAAAGAGCTGCCTAGCACTGACACGGTGCTTTGTGGAGCCAGCGGGGGGGCAGTTTTTATTCTGGGCCTGTGTCCTGGCCAATTAGAATACTCAGTCCGAGTGTGACAGAAAATATGATGCTTTCATTTTTTCATTATGCATGGAACATCCTTTTTGTGTGTCCTAATGGAGCACTTGAGCCACTTGATTCCTAAATGACAGTTTCTTGTAGGAAAGCCATTTCTCCTGTCATTTAACAGCAGTTTCAGTTCCATATAAGAGCCTTTGTTAGCTGGATGTCCCTGTGACACCTCTGAGGAAGGCAGCAGTAGGGAGCTGGGGGAGCCGCGTGTGTTTGGTGAGAATCAGTCCAGGCCCGTAGTGGAACTGAGAAGGCTCTGAGCATTCCCTTGCCGGTTGCTTCAAACAAGGAAGCCTTGTTGGTGCTTCAAAAAAACCCCACTTTGCTAGAAGGCTCTTTCTTTCTTAGAATCATAGAATTGTTTAGGTTGAAAAAGACGCATAAGATCATAGAGTTCCCCCGTTAACTGAACAATGTCAGATTCACCACTGAAGCATGTGCCCTAAGCAGCACGTGTCCATTAAACACCTCCTGTTCGTTTCTCCACAGACTCCTTATAGCAGGACAACCTACATGAGAGACCACAAAAGAGCGTCTCTGCTGTACCGCCTTGCAGAGGTGCAGGAGGAGTTCACTTTTGCCTCCTCCTTTCCACAACCCAGCCTCCCCTGAGAGCAGCGCTTTGTGCTCTGGAGGCACCAATCCTGGCACCACGGGTTTGCTGCCATTTCAGATGTCAGGTGTGAAGTGCAAGTCCCTGTTGCAGAAATTGTGCTTACAAACAGGACTGTTGCCTACAGAGACAAAAAAAACAATTAAAAATCTCTTCTTTTTTGCATCTCACCCCTCAAATCCCACCCCAGACCGACAGCAAATAGTAAGTGGGTCCAAACAGGGAAGTTTGAATATAGCTGAGCAACAAAGCAAGAGCAAAATGAACTTTTTTTCTGTCAGCTGCTTATTTTGAAATGACGTTTTGCCCATGAGCTGTCCTAGCCATGGCAGGCTGATACTTTGATGTTTGAAATGAGCCTTACAGGGAACACTGATACGTGTATGTGTATGTGTGTGTGTAATAGATCTCTGCCGTTTTACATTAAAATTATAAAAATGCCATACAAACCAAATGGAAGGAACTAAATTTCTGCTGTAGAGTGACACTGTAGTGTAAAATAAGGCTAACCACAGGGTGACTGCTCAGGCAGAAGTAGCATTGAGTGGTCTTTGAAAAAAAGTGCCATGTAGCCTAGGTGTTTTATTAGGTTACTGGCCAAGAGCTGGGGCTGTAGTCACCAGTGACACACGGGACTGGATGTTGGGTTTATCCCACGGGTGACAGTAAGGTAAGGAGTGTGTGCAGTGACGTAGTTAGCTATCAACAGTGGGTGGAGAGATACCAAGGTAAACACATGCCAGGTAATAACATCAACTGTCATCTTAAACTGAGACGGCTGTCTCTCAGTCTCTGTGTACAGTTCAGATTTCACAGGACAAAGGTCACAGGTGCAAAATACCAGTTTTAAATTTTCAGCTTGGCTTTGAAAGCTTGCTTGAAAGGTGTGCACGTATGAAAGTGCACCTCTGTGCGTTCAAAAGGTGCGTGCTTGTGCATCTGGAGTCACAGTTTTGCCTTGGTTGCAGTTGGAATGTGAAGGCAGAGACAAGTGACAGAAGGACTTCGAGATTGTAAAAGGTCATCCAGAATATAAAAAAGGTAGACTGATAACAAACAAAAACCCCTTTTTTCCCCCAAGCTTTTAGTTTTAATAAGTTAAAAAAAGGAGTTACTGAGGGTGACGGATTTTAAGGGAAAGTAAACCAGAAGTTACGTGAAGTTGTTCTCATCCTCCTGCACCTTCTTCTCCTTCCCTTTACAGCCGTCCATTCTGCAGTGATTCATTCTGGGTAACATTTTGTACAGCAATTTCAACGTGGTATTAATTTATATTGCCAATACACACACACTTGAGAACCTGGATAAATAATGAAAGTTCTGACAGACCCGTATATACTGTAAGCCCTAGCTGATGCTGTGGTATTACATTCTTTGATGGTTTCCATTTGTTCTTGGAGCTGTGTATTGCATCAGACTGTCACAAGAAGAATGGTACAATAATGGAAAAGCAAGGAAATTAAAAGAACTTTTTTGTTCCTCACTGCAAAATTCCCCTCAGCCTGCAAGCTGGCCTTAGTATGTTTCTGCATGACTAGTAAAAGATCTGACTGAGAGCCAAGAAGGTGGTGCTGGGAATGCTCAGGTGGTGAAAATGAGTGTTCAGTGATTTCAGATCCTATCTGGATATGCTGTTTGTGGTGTCCCAAACCTAAGTCCATTCCAGAAGTGGATCTGTGCCCTTTTTCTCATAGAAATCTCTTGCCTAAAAACAGTAGAAAGCCCAAGTATTCTCTTCCACTGTTAAATTATGGTGCTTAGGATGCATTAAAATGAGATTCATGCTTGAAGATATAATTTTCTTTCTCTAGTGGCTTGAAAGGCCCATTCCTCCCTTTTAATGCTCATGTAGCCCCACTGAATGCAGAGGAACTACGCAGTTATAGCAGGAACCACAACATAATCAGTGGCTTTTTCACCATGACCTGCACTTTGGCTGTGAAGGGCCCTGAGCAGTGAGTGCCAGTGCTGTAGTTTCTGTGCAGGTCACCTGGCAGTGGGACCTCTGCTGTACTTGCACTACCAGTTTGTCTCATTTGGATTTTGGAGGACTGCTTCTGTTCTTTGTTGTTTACTCATCTCCTAAATTTTCCTACCTGTATAATAGTAAATATTACAGTCTCTCATTTGCTGAGAATGGGACTGAGAGTAGCTACACACCCCACCAGGCTGCAGTGATGCTGTAACAGCCCTGGGCATGTCCACACCTCCTGAGGGACTGCAGTGCAGAGTCCCCCTGGTTAATGCTGGTCCGGGTTGGCCCATCGCAGTCCTGAGGTGTGTGAAGGCAGAGGCTCAGGAAGGAGCACAGCAGAAGTGTCCTCCCTGCCTCCTGCCAGTTCTTGGAGAGGCCCAGGGCTGCTTCTGCCACTCCCTTTAGTGCTTTGAGGATTCGTGTCTACTGAGACAGAGCTGACGTCTCTTTGCAGTGGTGTAGCTGAACATCCACCCTTGTATGCCTGGGTGAGCTTGGACACTCCAGGTAAATGCACCCGCAAGAAATGGTTTTCCTCTTTCTGCCCTCAACTTCCCTTTTCCCATTGTAGACAGGCGAATCGTCTCAAACAGAAACTGTCTCTGAGGAGAACAAGAGCCTGATGTGGATCCAGCTGAAACAGCTGCGACCTGGCATGGACCTGTCGCGGGTGGTGCTGCCCACCTTCATCCTGGAGCCACGCTCATTCCTTAACAAACTCTCTGATTACTACTACCATGCTGACCTGCTTTCCCAGTAAGCAGCACACAGAGCCTGTCTGACCTGTGCACTTTTCTTATATTTACGAAAATGTGTTAACGGTGTTAGCTTGGTGCTGGCTAGGGTGCGTTTCTGTGATTGAAAGGCTCCCAAATAATACTCAGGTCTCTGGAGTCCACGTAAATCGAACCAGACACCAACTACAGTGACCTTTTCAAGATGTGCTGCTGCCAGTGAGGGGCAAGGAAAACAGTTAAAACTCTGGACAAAACTACCTTTGCACATCTGCATTTGCCAACATTGACTGTGACTGGTGGGGATCCAGCTCATGTGTTGGAGCATCTCCCAACAGAGCTCTGCCACCTTCTGGTGTACTCGTGTACAGAGGGGAACAGGACAGAGCAAACAATTGTCAAGCACTTCTGCCCCCAAAAGCAATATAATTATGTTGATTGATAAACAAATGAGAAACGTCTTTTAACACCACTGATGAGAGAAACCTGCTGGGAGCAGCAGAGTAGAAAATAGAAAATGTTATGCTTGCAGATAGGACCAGCCTTGTCAATGAGATATGCCTGGTGTATTTTTAAACCACTGCATGCAATATTTGAATAGCAGCACTACTTAATCATGTTTATTTCACTGCTTCTGGGTAATTTTAGAATCGTGGTATTTTCAAGCCTTGTTTGTGGTATTTGTAACATCTGAAGTTAAGGAAATGGTTCTTGCTGGTGCTGAGATCTAAGAAAAAGAGGTTTGGAGGTTTTGTTAAATAAACCTCTTTGTGGTGTGGATGATCCTTCTGAATGGATTTTGCAAGAACTTATCCAGACTGATATTCAAATCTGACTAAATGGTTGGAAATACCTGAAGCTCTGTGGTTTATGTTTACCTCCCACTTATCTTTGAGTCGGGAGAGGTTGAATGAGATGACCTTGAGAAGTCCCCTCCAACCTAAATTATTGTAGCGCATCAGCTTCAAAGATTGCTTAAAGAAGAGGGAAACAAAGAAAATGGGAGAAAAATAGAATTTGATCCTGGTGGAGTAAGCATTATTGGGTTTATGAATCACACTGTATACTGTTAGCTGTAACTAAATGCTGGAGTGAGTCCAGTCCTGCATTAACATACCTGAACGTCCAATTAAATCTGATACCCTCCAGAAATGTTATTAGACTTTTTTGCAGGAGCACAGGGCAATGGGTGCCACTTTTTTAGAGTTTATATGTGTCTTATGTGATGTACATTACTAAAAAAAATATTAAAATATTTCTGCTAGCAGACACCTTTTTCACTGGAAGCAGCACCAAAGTTACTTCCCTTTCGTACTGGGGAGATACCATTGAAATTCATGTTGTTATACTGGTATGAAATGAATGAGATGTGTGAACAGTATAATAAAGAGCACTTTATGTTCTGTCCTGCAGGGCGGTCCTTGAAGATGATCCATACAGTCGAATGAAGCAAGTATTGAGGTGGTATCTGTCTGGCTTCTATAAGAAGCCAAAGGTAAAAGAGTGCATGAAGTTGGGGTTGCAACAGGCATTGAAATCTTCTGCTATGGTTGTGTATTTCTTTATTGCCTTTCTTTTGACACTTCACCTCTCATACTGTTTAGGAGACTTTGACCATTCCTTTTAAAACTGAAGTTGCATTTGGTTTCAGAGTAGATATTGAGTGCAAAATAGCACTGATCAACATCAGAGCCTTTGCACTGGGCAGTTAGAAGGCAAAGCTAGTCATCAACAAGTAACAAACATGTCCTCAGAGACAAGGTTTTTCCTGTTGCTGAAAGCAGGTCTCATTTCTCTTTTCACGCCTGTTAGTACCATAGTGCCATGTTTCCACATCAGTATACACTTACTGCATATAGTAGCAGAAATAATAATAGTTTGATCATCTTGTAAAGTTTTAATCAAAGATTAAGTTGGTGAGAACAGCAGATGAATCCATGGCTCGGATGTAACCAGTTCTTCAGGTTTTATTCTTGTGATTGACTTTAAAAACATCAAGGAAAATGATTATGTTGTTTTGTGGCCGTCTCTGTAGAGCTGGATTGCAAATCTTCATTTGTAGCAGGTTTTTTTACTTTGTTTTTCAGGGAATAAAAAAGCCATACAACCCTATTCTGGGAGAAACGTTTCGTTGTTGTTGGTTTCACCCTCAGACGAACAGTCACACATTTTACATAGCAGAACAGGTAAGGCCCTTTATCCAGATGCTCAGGTGTTGCAAACAGCTGCCTGCTTGCACGTCCGTGCGTAGGAACACCCTCCTCATCTCCCCCTGGGAGTGGAACTTGGAGTCTTCAGTAAAGGCCTTCCCATGGAATCTGCCCTACTGTTTTCTTATTGTTAGTAAAATGTGGATTGTGTTGCTTCTGTCAAAAAGGGCATAAAATGCGTAACCAAATCCTGCCTTCCTTTATTTTTAAACTCTCTATAGTGATTTTAATAGAAGTAAATTAAGGGCTTGTCACTATGGCTTTGGGAATAAATGAAGCACAGAGCTCACAAGTAAACTGGCCTGACAAAATTTAATTTGAGATTTACTGTGTTAATAAAGGGATCTGAGGACCTTGTGGACTTTGGTACAAGGACTCCCTGTTTCACGTGCGGTTTTTTCCTATTTCAGAGAATTTTTATTTTGTTTTATTTTATGTCATCCACTGCAGCCATTTTACAGAGGTTATTCAGATGCTGCCAGAATGTTCTGCACTGTCATTCATTGTGCTGAAAATCTGACAGTGCACCTCTTGGCCTCAAATTGATCTCAGATGCACAAGGACAAAAAAAATACAATGTTGGGGAGAAAGTTTATGTGTAGAATCATAGAATGTTAGGGATTGAAGGGACCTCTAGAGATCATCTAGTCCAACCCCCCCTGCCAAAGTGAGATCCCCTAGGGCAGCAACACAGGAACGCGTCCAGGTGGGTTTTGAAAGTCCCCGGAGAAGGAGACTCCACACCCTCTCTGGGCAGCCTGTGCCAGAGCTCCGTCACCCTCACAGTGAAGAAGTTTCTCCTCATGTTGAGATGGAACTTCCTATGTTCTAGCTTATACCTGTTATTCCTTGTCCTATTACTGAGCACCGTTTGAAAAGACACAGGCCTCTTCTTCTTGACACCCACTCCTCATATATCTGTATACATTAATAAGGCCCCCTCTCAGCCTTTTCTTTTCAAGAGTAAACAGCTCCAGTTCTCTCAGTCTATCTTCACAGGAAAGATGTTCAAGTGTATATAATGGTCTCACATATAATGTTCCCTCCTTTAACACTGCCGTTGATGGTACTGATGGGGCTTAGAGGACTGTTGAGTCCTGCAGTCTCCATCTTGCACTTTCCCTAGAGCCTGTGTAACGCTGTGCGAGGCTGTGTGTGCACTCCCCGTGCTCTGAAGCTGCTGTGACCTGTGCCTACTTTGCTTCTAGGTCTCCCATCATCCGCCAGTGTCAGCTTTTCATGTCAGCAACAGGAAGGACGGATTCTGCATTACTGGCAGTATTCTAGCTAGGTCCAAGTTCTATGGTAAGGCATTAAGCCTGGGCGTCTTCAAGGTAACATCTGGGAATCGTTTTTTGTTGTTTTTCAATCCCTTCAGAGTGTGTTGAGAGTTAAGAACAAAGAAATATTTAAGGGATCTACCACCAGGGCACCTTGTTTCAGCTCGCCTGGGTTTTTCCAGTTTCCACCATTTCAGTGGGAGATCACATTAACGTTAAAAAAAATAATAATCAGAAAAAACTGAGAACTTTAAAAACCTGTTTTTCAGAAGGCAAAGGTTCATGAGAATGTGTGGGCGTGGCACAACCAATTGGTTGTCAGACTACTTTGCGCATGCTCGTGGAGGAGTCATTTTATAGCTATCTTTTGCAAAAGTCTCTGCACAAGTGTAACGATTTATGTAGCTCCCAGGTTTCTGAAAGTTGAACCCTACAGCTTCAAAATGTCCTCGAATCTTTTCCTTTCAATGGAGACAGCACAAATGCAGGCTCTGAAACAGTGTTGCTGCCTGAAGCGGATTTTTTTGTTGAGACAAATGCCTCTTAAGTACGATCCTCTGATAAATGTTACTTGTTGAAACACTTGTAAATAGTCATTGCTGTCCTGTAAATTTTACTTGTTATTTTGGATCATACACAACCAGAAAAGTCGTGAGGACAGAAGGACCTGAGAACCTTCTAAGCATTGGAAGTGCTTTCTACATCCCACTAATGTCTTACTTAATCTAGTGCCCTTTCTGCAACAGCGGCTAACTGCCAGAGCAAATATGAGTCATACAGCAGAGAGTTTGTTAGAACTGCCTCCCTCCAACAGTAAATGATTTTCAATCCTGAATTATTAGTCTTTCATATCACTTCTTTCATTAATGACCTACATTCAAATGGATATTTGTTTTTAAGTAGGATAATTGACCAAGTATAACATGCATTTTCTAATAGTGTTGTATTTAACTATTTAATCTATATTTTAATATGTATTTGTTCTTTTTAATACTAGGTAACTCACTTTCTGCACTGTTGGATGGGAAAGCAAAACTTATGTTTCTAAACAGGGGGGAAGATTATATAATTACTATGCCATATGCCCACTGTAAAGGTAAGTTACGACTATTCAAAGAGGACATGAGCAGAAAGAACCATGTAATGATATCTTACTGACTGACTTTGTGCTGGCTTGCTTCTTCCTTCTTGAATGCCTGGCACTGTAGGGTCTGGTAATTCCAGGGAGCAGTTGCTCCACACATGAATCAGAGCACGCAGCAGAAGACTGGTAATCCCCATCGAAGTCTTTTTGTCTGTGCAGAACGGTCTGTGCAGAGCTGAGGACAAAATTAATCCTATCTAAGTTAGTTTTCATACTATATAGAAAAAAAACCCAAAACACTGTGTATATGCGCTGCAGATAAAGTGAAGATGGAAAGAGCTTCTGAGGATAAGTTTTTCAAAACTGAAATTGTTTAATGTATTCTGGCTTTTTGAGAATAAAGGAAATTCCTGGATTCTCTTTTGATTTCTCTGTTACTCGAATCATGATATTCCTCAGTGCTAGCTGCCTCAGTGAGGCTGAGAGCTGTTACTGTGTGGCTTTGCTCTGTTGAGCTGCGTGTGCGCTGAGGCCAGGGTACAGCTGCTGATTCACTGCTGTAACTTTGCATTTCTCCTCAGGAAGCTAAGTGTCTGTGGTATTTCAGCTACACTGATAAAATCATTCCTACAGCAGTGATCCAGTTTGAGGTCTTGAATAGTTTTATGTTGACATGTTGATCTCTAAGTTAATAGCTACCTAAAAACAGTAACTTCTGTACATCACGCCTTCTGTGAACTGTTTCTGTGCATAAATCTTTTTTCTTGTCAATTTTTCTTTTTCTGCAAATGACCCTTTCAGAAAGTGGTAAGCATGTGTAAAAAGGACTCACCTGCATGACTTCTAGTCTCCCAGATTCTACTGAATCCTGTTACAGTTCCTCTGCCCCATCCACCCTGTGAGAAGTAACTGGGTCTGTTTAATCACTAGTATAAATGAAGCTGCTGGACACAACTTTCCTTATTTTTCCTTTCCCACTTCCAGCTAGCCACTGATGTACTAGCACTACCTGTCAAGCTGTTTCCAGACTGGTGTAATCAATGGGAAATGGGGACTCAGGGGAGGATTCTTCATGCTTTATAGTCAAGAGCCTTTTCCTAGAAAGATTAGTTTCTGTCTTTTCAAAACTTTAAGCCAAGTAGTAAATTTCACAGTGTGTCAGTGAGAGTCAGTCTGAGTTGAGAAAGCAGATTGCTTCCATTGGAGCCTCTCTTAAGTCTCAGTTTTTCCCTTTCAGGACTTTTGTATGGTACCATGACAATGGAGCTTGGAGGGAAAGTTACCATCGACTGTGAGAAAACTAACCACAGGGCAGAACTGGAATTCAAGCTAAAGGTGAGAGGCACTGCAGCCCTATTTTGAATGAGTCTCAGGCTTGCCCCTGTGCCCAGGAAGCCCGAGTTTCACTGTCAGCTGGCTGGCTGCTGGCCAAACGCTGTGTGTTCGGCAATGACTGTGTGGCTCCTGGTTACAAAGGTACAGTTGTTTGTGCCTGCAAAATACAGTGAGGTGTACAAACCGCTTTGAGTAAAGTTAGGATATGGATCTCCAGTACCCACCACGTACATACTCCTAACTTGCAGGTATTACAGTGACCCATACCTTGTGTTCCTCAAGGCTACAGGACCTTGCCTTGGTGATAGGGTAAGAGTCAGTTTTTGGGCAGATATTTTGAATGGCAGTCGCACTGACAAGCCGCACCGGCATTGCCTCGTACTGACTTGTGTGTGTAGCTGTTCCCTCCCTTAGAAAGCCTGCTGATTCAAATTTATGGTATGCAGATAACACAGATACATTTTTGATCATTCCTGTACTTACATGTGTTAAAATTTGGAAGGAAAAATGATGGCCTGTAATTCTTCTTGGACAGTTAATTTGTTTTTTGAGGACCATCCCTTTCTTTTGTGTTACAACATACAATTTCTTGCCTGGGCATGAAATAAAAGATGGAGGACTGAAAGACTGCAGAACTTTGCCGTAGCCAACATACATGCAAGGGATTACTGGGGTTAGGGGAGTCTTTTGCATACTGTGTTTTTCTGGGGGCAGTAATAATCTTCTGTCTTTCTTTGCTCTTACAAAGTAAATTGTTGCCCCATGTACTTCCTTGACATTTGCATAAACTTGTCTTTAAATCCTATTCCTCCAATAGGAGTGTTGGGGCTAATGGAGTATTTCCCAGATTTTGATTGCTGTCATCTCAAACCTACAAACGCTTCAGAGTTTTCTGGCTTGAAAACAACACACTTAGTTCAAACATGACTCCGTGGTCCCTGAGGTGTAATTATGTGCTCTGCTTTGAATAGTTCTTAACCACATTTTTCAGTAGAATTGTGAGAATTTGAACCTAAACCCCAGAACTTTGTTATTAATTTGGATATGTATCAATTATCCACATTGATTCTTGAGATCCTTGTGATTTCTTTTTCTGTGAGTGTTGTAGGAAATTTGGGTTTATGTTGTTATTTTTTTAGAAAGAAAAGGTTGCTCTGCACAAAAATTATTGGAAAGTAGTTGCTAAAATATCTGAAGAAATGTTGTGTGGTATGGATGGAAAAGCTGGTCACTCTATCACTGCTGTTTCCTGTGTCTGGCAGGCAGGAGGTGGGGGAATTTTCCATTGTTGTGAGAATCTTTTCCTTGACTCTGGAAATACCCTTTTTTTCTTTTTTTGTCTGCTGCTGACAAGAGCTTCTTCACAGGGGAGACTTTGGGCAGATGCAGCCGTCAGCAGCGGCACTGCTGTTGCTATGTCATAAGCAGAAGAGTCACCAACTGCGTTAGTGCTGCACCTTGTCTTTGGACAAGGCTGCAGGTATAAGGGTGAAAACTGTAATGTGATTCTGCACAAGGGGAAGGACTTGCTGCCCACATGCACTTATCCCCACGTCTAGCTGACAATAAATGTATTTGCAATGAAGGCAAGACCCTGCACTGCTGAATGATCTCCCCTCCTGCAGCTCTCACAGTGATTTTGATATTACAAACAAAAGGAGGAGGGCACAATGCTAGATGGTCAGAATGTGTGTTAGAATTCATTCCGCCTTTCCCCAGAAATAGTGGAAATCAAGCAGCTTTCACTTCCCTCCTGCCGCATTACTGTCTTTGGCGTCCTTCCATTTCTCGTTAAACTGATCGCGTTTTATATTTCTATTCTCCCCTGACAGCCTTTCTTCGGTGGCAGTGCGAGTATTAATCAAATCTCTGGGAAGATTAAATCGGGAGAAGAAGTGTTAGCAAGTCTCAACGGACACTGGGTAACATGCGATAATCAAAATTGCTGACAGTTTAAGTGCGCGTGGCAGCAGAGTGCGTGGGAGGACTGGCAGCCCTTGGCTGGCTCTGGGGCCACAGAGGACCCGTGTCCTGCCTCTGCCTCCATCCCCAGGGAGCGCAGGCAAGACCAGCTTTCCGGGCCACACCTCTCAAGGTCATTTATGCTTCTGTAGTCCCATCCACCTGCAGTGTGAGTAACACTTGTGCTCCCAGAGCCTGGGCCACAGCTGCAAACAGTGAAGAGAGTTTCTGTCAAAGCTTTGTATTTAGGGTCCCAGGCTTAGGACAAGCACAGTGAGGGAAGGAGACAGAGACTTCCTTTTGTCTTGTGTTCAATACTTGCTCAGCTACAGCAGTATCAAGAATATTGTGGAGTTTTAAAGTCATTATTCTCACAACAAATCTGTATGGTAGAAGATGGATATTCCTTTGTTCCTGAGGTGAAGGACAGGGACATAGTTTCAGTGAGGTTCTGTCTGTGTCAGAGCAGCGATCAGAGCAGCTAGCACCTTTGCACCTACTGTCCGCAAGTGAACCACTCAAAGGCATCCTTAAGCCAAAATCCAGCAAGAATATATTTACGTGGTGAAGGATGTAGTCTGGAGTGTTGGCTGGGAGTTCCTTGTAACCGTGGCAAAAGCAGTGAGCCCTGGCTCTGGGCCGGACACTTAAGTGTTGATCTCAGATACATTTAGACATTTACAACTTCTTTATAGCTGACCTATGCACCCTTTCCAGTCTGTAGAAATTGACACAAGATTTGTCTCATCTTAAAGCAGATATTTGTAGTAGGTCAGGTGAACTGTGCCTGGAAAAAGCCCTTTTTATAGTGGAGTCCTAACCATAGTGTAGCCTTTGGTACTGGACTCCTCCCCTCAGGCAATCTGTCTTTTTACATAAAAAGCTAATGACCACTTTGGAATTGGAAGATTTGCACTTTCTAGACGTACACAAGGAGATTTGCTTCCGGTGCCTGAGTAACTGTTCCATTCTGAGCTCCCTTTCCTGCAGAATGAGCCTCTGCCATTGTGAGTTGTGCTGGATGGTGGAGTACCTTGTCTGCAGTGGGTCGAACACCATCCATGAGAGTGTGTAATCAAGTGGCTCCCTTGGGGCGCCGAGCCACATGGTTGCGTACTCCTCAGCTTCCAGCCGTCTGTGTGTGGGTTTTATCAGCCTGAAAATAATTTATTCCTCCCTTCTTCTTTGTGCTGTTGTTTGTGGTGCACAAAATTAGAGTGATGTATAAAAGAAGTTAAATGGCTTTGAAAGGGTGACTCCATAAGCTGCTGTTTGCTGTTGAGTGCTGTGAATAGAGTAGCTGCTGTGCAGCAGTAAGGTTGTGGTTTGTTCCTCTCCCTGCGGAGAGTATTGGCCTGCTCTCCTGAGCTCTGCAGGCTTTTCCCAACAGAAACCCTCACAGCTGAAAGACTAATTCTCTGCCTCAGAATCTGAAAACCCACCTGAATAAAGAAGGGAAGCAAATCTCAATGCTTCTCAGCCCCAGGATCAAAGTAGCTGCTCAAGGCTTGCATATACACCCCTTAGAGATGCACGCAGTGGCACTTGGTAATGCCAGCCTGTCTCCACCTTTCCACAGCTGGGGCCTCTTGGGGACCTCAGATCTGTCCTGGAACTGGCATCTCAGGACATGGCAGAGGAAGTCCTGAGAGAGACTTTGAGGAGGGATGAGAGTCCCACAGGGCTGGAAGAGTTTCACAGCTAAAGATGTGGGAAGTGGACTTTGAGACATGCATCAAGAGACTGTGGCAGGGGAAGAAATGCATCAGCTGGATACAAAGAAATTAGACAGTGACAGGCAAAGCTAATAGCCATGACATAAATACGGTTTTCATGATACACCATGTCCAGACAGCTCACTGGCACCAATGCACATGCTGCTCAGCAGCTGTAATTGTCTGATTCATTCCACTTGCAGTCAGTGTCGCGCTCTTCCCTATATGCTCTGTAAAGTACCCTGTCTGGCTCCGCAGCATTGCTGCGGCTATGAGCCAGGCTAGGGAGCAGCTCAGGCTCAGTTAAGCAGGATGTCTTGGTTTGAGCTAAACAGAACCAATTCTGTCCGGTGATTTTACTTTTCAGCTCAGTCTCTTATGAGAGGCTGCACTTACTGAGGTTAACAGCATGTTTTTGTAGACAGTGCCTGCTACTAGAAATGATAACGCCTGGTGTTTACAGTTACTGCCAGGGATGGGCGTGCAGAAAGGCTCTTGCTTATACTTGTAGTAACTGAGGTCACTGCTGGATCTTGTGTAACATATTGCAGGTGCCAGTAAGTAAAAGGGTTGTGAGGAAGTAAAAAGTCGCACCTCTGGGGAGGAGTGGACAGGACAGATGACCCAAACCTGACCAGCAAAGCATCTCATTCCATTCCATTCCATTCCATTCCATTCCATTCCATTCCATTCCATTCCATTCCATTCCATATACATTATATTCAGTATACAGCTGAGGGATCACGGGGGTTAAGTTGTTCTTCAGTGACTGGTGTCAAAGGAGGCCTCGGTCCATTCTTTTGCCCTCGATCCCAATTCTGAGATCCCAAACCCAGCTCCTGTATCTGATTTCCATCTGCTGCTGAGTCTGAGACTTCCCTGGTGCTTTCCTGCTGTGCAGCATCGGTGGGGATTGCTGTTGGTGGGACTGGGTTTGATATAGGTTTTGTTTATATTTTATTGCTTTAATTATTTTCTTATTAGTGCTATTACTGTTTCATTAAAGCTTGGTCTTTTCCAATCCATAAATCTGTCTGCCTTATTTCCTTTTCCTTCCTGCTTTGGGGGGCCGATGGGTTAATAGAGAGCATCTGTCATTCATTTGGTGGCTGGCCCTGCCTTAACGCTTGACACAGGGACACAGCAATGTTGTTTAGCCAGCCTCAGATCAGAGGAGTGTTGCTTAATAGTTGGCTGCCGAGTAAATTGGCAAGCAATACGGATGAAGGACTCCCAGCATTTTGAAGTGCTAAATGAAATTCAGGAGCAGTGATAGAAAAATCTGGCTAAAGTGAAAAAAAAAAAAGAGTATGGCACCTTTAGCTTTCCTTTCTGGAAAGGATGATATTTTCTTAGGCGCTGTGTGAAATTTCAGTGTTGAGGAATAGGAGAAAGAATGGAAAAGGAGCTGGGGATCTTGTTTATGTGGGTGCTACCTAGGAGGAACAGTGGGGAAGGAAGAGCATCTTAGGACTTCTGAGGAATGACACAAAGGACCATGTCCCTTTCTGATTCTTCTTTGATTAGTTCAAGCCAGTGTTTCCGGCAATGCCTTGCTTCATTAATTGTAGAAACTTTTGGAAAATGTTCAGTGAGATTTAATGGGATAGAGGAGGAAAGAAACCTTCTAACCAAGCCCTATCCCTGATCATCATCCGGAAGCAGCTTCCATTTGTCAGGATTATTTTCTGCCTTGTGTTTCTGATTGTCATTAACCTTTTACCTTAATTTTCCTTGTCAGGATGGGGAAGTGCATATAAATGAGTTGAAAAACGGAAACACGGAAATGTTCTGGAACCCAACCAGTGAAGTACGAAGGCAGAGACTGAAGCGCCATATTGTGCTGTTTGAGGAGCAAACAGACTTTGAGTCAGAGAGGTAAGGAGCGCTGGGAATGCCTCGGTGCTACTTCCCCAGTGAAAGTGGGGCTCTGATCAGAAGGCTCCCATTCCTCTGCACAGTCCTAGAAAGGCAGTGACCTGCTTTGCCTGCACATATTACCCAGCCATTTACCTGTTTTTTTCCAGTCTGTTAACTCTGGAATATTTCCATGAAGTGTAGCTCTGCAATAACCAGAGAGCTGGGCTGAGAAGTAGCTGAAATAACATTTTTTTCTGCTAAAATAATAACTCCTTGAGCTTCAGAGATCATGAACAGAGTCTCTGTAAATGCTGGAATATTTTATAGAAGGGCAAGATGTCAATCGGAGGTCAGATGTCTTGTTAAGAAAGGTTGTTTCAACCACAGGCTCTTAAATTAGATGCAGGAATCAAGTCCTGGCATGAGCAGAGCAGAAGTGTGAACCACATAACTGGATTTTATGAGAGAATGTAATTAAACAGGGATGTTTAACCCTGCCCCATAATCTCAGCTGAGATCTCCAGTGAAGTCTGCACCAGTGGTTTTTTTAGGGTAATCCAGATTACCTAAAAATGCAGTCCTGGCGCATGATTTAGGAACTGGAAGGAGTGACTAACTGATGCAATGAGCATCTCCAAGCCAGTTCTTGAGCAGGAACAGATAGAGCAACGTCATATGGCACTGGCTTCAAACCAGGTGGTGCTACCATCTCACCAGTACAGTTAGCCAGTACCAGCTAACATCCTAAACCAGTACATGCAGTTTGCTGCCTTACTTTGCATTACTTACTCTGCGTTACTTTGGCCACTACTGTCAGTATTTGGGGGTTACAGCACATCACTAAGAAGGTTCCTCTTTTAATGAGTAAAAAAAGGGGTGGCATGAAAACAAAAACACATGAACATGTAATTTGTTCTGGACAGCAGTGGACATCATGGGCAATGGAGTCTGTGTTTGTAACTTACAGTCCAGGAATTGCCATTGTCACAGAGCAAACTGCAGCACATTTCTCTGTTAATCTTCTGGAGAAGATTCTTTTAAAGGAGATGAGAAATCTTAGTCTTGTGGACAGAGAATCTCCATTTCTCTGTTTACCAGGGTACTGCCAGAGCTGACTCCCTTTGCTGCATCAGAGATTAATAATGATACAGGTATCCAGAGGAAAGAGGCAAAAGGTAGAATTCTGGGGATCCCTAGCAGGTGTTCCACCGAGCTCATTTTTGTGCTGACGGTTGCATGAATAAATTACAATCTAATCCGGGTTGTGTTCTGCCTGAATTGCTTAGTCGTTCCTGCAGTGCTGAAAATCACCTATTTTCACAAATGCTGGAGAGACTCTGAAGCTCACCATGGAGGGCCTCATTGTCTGACACATGCATCTCTTGATGAAGTAATTTGCCCTTGTCAAATAATTGTGCGTGTGTCCCTCTGAGGTTCTTAGAATTAGAGGACTCGCTTTGCACACCACCACATTCCTTAGGGCTGACTTTTTACGCCACTGCAGTATTTTCTCTCCTCCCTCCCCCACCCCCATCACTTTGAGCTTGAGTTGAGTTTCCTTCCTTTGTTTCTGGGAGAAAAGATTCATACACAGGAAAGTAGGAGTGACGTGTGAAAACAGACACAACAGTTATTTATCCAAGAGGCTGCATTTTGGAAGTGTTGTGTTAATACACGAAATATAATGAAAATGCCAGTATCCCTTCTAAACTAAGAGCTTCACAGCAAGCTCCAAATTAAATGCAGTAATGTATTCATCTTCTAAATGGAGGACCGGTGCTTTGTTGAGCTGGGAATACTGGAGCAGCCTGGATCGCCAGTGTCTTAACGCTAAACCACTTGGTAATGTTTTGGGAGAGTGAGCTGCTAAATTCAGAAGTATTTCCAATCTTAAATGAAGATTATAGTGCTCTAATTAGAGAGACTGTGGAGAAGCATATCACAGCTTGGCTATAGTTAAAAAAAAAAGTTAGTGATTTTTCTCTCTTAAAAGGCCGATCCTCTCCTCTGGGCAGAGGCTCAGTGAGACATCATATGACTGATTATGTATCTTTTGGCAGATGAAAGCAAGTGCGAGTGAAAGCTGGTGTTCATGCTTGCAGTTTGTGAGCACAAGTACATGTATGTTTCTTGCAGGTTTTGTCAGCTTCCTACAGATCTGGTTGCTAATCCTGTACAGAACTACAACATTGCATGTGCAGCAGCCAGCCATGCACATGAATTCATTTTCCAGTGCTTCTAAACTTTAAATATAAAGCCTTTATTTTAGGGACAGACATTAACGCAAAGAATCTAAATATAAATGATCGAAATGGTGAGGAAGATAAATTCTCCAGTACCCATCGCTCACCTCCAAAGAGGCCGCTGACCTCAATGAATTGAGCGTAACTATCTTGTAACTGACACAGACAGCACTGAAGGTTTTAATAAGTATCGTAGGTGGTGTTCCTAAGGGGAACAATAGATCACTGTACACAGCATTCAGTGCTGCCGTTCTCATAACATTCCTTTAACTTACAAGCCAAAAGTGAGGCTGAGCAATCCTGTTGCACTTCCTCTGGAGTATCAATAGACCAGACAAGTGTCTGCTCTGAGGTTCCAGCTGGCAAAATGTATTGTTGGTTTTAAGGTGGCTTAACTGGCTTTCCTGTTTATTTATAGGCTTTGGCAACACGTTACCAGTGCAATAAACAAAGGTGATCAACACAAGGCAACGCAGGAAAAATTTGTGCTGGAAGAGGAGCAGAGGAACGCTGCCAGGGAGCGGAGAGAGAATGGCACAGAGTGGAAACCGCTGCTCTTCCAGCATGACGCTGCAACTAATGAATGGCGCTACAAATATGAGGAGTGAGTGGTGGGGCTGGGGATTATGAACAGACCTTGCTGCTTGAGTCCTCAGGAATGCAGGCGAGGGTACAGAGCTGTAATTCAGGTCCTACTATGGCTCCATGTCATTATTAGAATTCGTGTTCCTTATGCTAATTGGGAATAGCTGGGAAGAAGGGCTGGGCAATGGAAAATCTGCTATGCCATTGGTGCAAATCCCTATTGCTGCAATCAAGTGGGGAATCATTTAGCAGAGCTTTTCTGCACTGTGTGAGCAGAGTTGACAACTGTGCTTTCCGCCCCTGGCAAGAAATGTGAAGCCTCTGGAGACTGAACCTCCCTATTTGTTGCTAGGAGTGGTGAGTGTAGAGGGAAGTATCTGTTACTTCTCATGCTGCATCAATCAAAACTCTGGTTCCTGTCAGGGATGAACGCCTGCCCTGATGAATGTGGAATTGGTGCATTGCTCTTAACACACCTAGTGTGAGATTCTTGTTTTTCTGATGTTTTTTCCTTTGGTCTCAAAAGTTTAAGACCTTGGGATCCTTTGAACGACATTGCCCAATTTGAGAAGAATGGGATACTTCAGACCATGGAGAGACACTTATCCACAAGGATGTCAAACCACAAAACAACATGCATAAACAATCAAATTACACGGCACAAGGTAAAAAGCCTTTTTTGTGGAAGATAATATTCTTAATGATTGTTTAGACACATAGCCCTTTTCTGCAGCATTTTCATGAAAGCACAGTATAGGCTGAAAGGTTTGTTTTGGATAAATGTAGCTTATGACTCTAGACATGCAATATCATTCCATCGTTAACTTCAATTATAATTCTTGGTTGACATATCCTATCCATTTTGGTTTTTTTATTCCACTTGGCGTTAGCGACAGTGACTCATACATTGGGTTTTGCATGTGACTGAGCTGAACTTCAGTGTTTCCAAAGCAGAAAACATCCCATAGTGAGGATGTGAGCCAGGTTTTGGAGTACACAACTGAGATACTGCAACTTCAATTTCAGTCTTTGCCATCTGCCTTTATCACTTACTTCAAGACAAAACACGACATCTCTCTCTATCCTTTTCCTTAACCCGGAATGACACTTTCTCATTTTATTGCATTTGGAGTAATATATGACATTCATAAAATGTTTTGTAAAAGTAGAACTGCTGAGCTAGCTAGATATAACCCCTATTACACTGAAGAATTTGTGTCTTATTATGTACATAGACTTTTCTTTTATAATCTCCCATATCTGAATGTCTCTGAAACAGTGACAAAGTTGAGGTTCATAGCTGCTTTTCAGACCCTCCAGTGAGAAGTTTGAATCAATATGTTTGGGTAGGGAGAAAGTTTCCAAACTGCATCAAGAAACTGGGTGTAAAAGTTCTGCGACATTTAAATCCTTCAAGAACCTTCTGAAAAATCTTCCTTGGAAAATTTAGTTCTAAATTCTTCTTCTTTTCATCCTTTCTCTTAAGTATCTGGTTGGTGTGTATGCAACACAGCAAAATAACTGTAAAGTTCACCACTAGTAGACGTCAGTTAAAGCTACAAAAAGAATAATTTGGATGCTATCATATGAGGAAACGCTTCTGTATGGGGCATGTGTGTAATATTCATTAGTAGAGGCCAGGAATCCAACTATTAGGAGTTGCTGAGAAAGCAGTCAGACTTCACAATCTCACAGATATTTGCCAGCACCCCAAACTACTTTGTTTAAAGCCAAACCGAAGAGTCTGTAATGTGAAGGTGACTGAGTCTCTTGTAATCTCTGTTTTATCCAGAGGTCTGCCAAAGACTGCAGGCGCCGCAAAACCAGTGATCAGCCGTCCAACCAGAGCCAGAACACAGAGAGCAGCTGTTCAACTCCAGAGTCAGTGCAGGAGCTCTCAGACGATGATGGCAAGTATTTGGGTATCATTGGGTCAGGATTTAATGTTCTTGCCTTGGTGTGCAATTCCTCGAGCCATCCGTGGGACATTTCCCAGCCCAGTTAATACCGTGGGCTCATAGCCCACAGGCACACACAGGAACATTTGGCTTTTCTATTCTCCGTACATACTACTTCTCTTTCTGCCTTACACTATACATGCCAACAAGGGTTTCCCAACTCTTGGCACAAACGTCTTGGAAAAACATACTGACATTCCAGTCAACAGGTAGGAAACAGGCTTTGTTTCTCATTCCCTTTTCTCAGCCTTTGTGGGAGATGACCTTGAACGTTTTAGAGATGGGGGCAGCTGTAAGCACTCCATTCCTCTCCCCTCGGCTGGGGAGCATGCTGCAAAAATTGTTTCCTGAGAGCCAAGGGGCACCAGGTTGTTGTCAGAGGACCCATCCCACTGACCTGGGTCTTCACGTGGAATATTCTTTCCCGTCTCCTTCTCCCAATGTTTCTGCCTTAAAGCATCCCCCTAGGTGTGAGCCACTTGCGGAGTGAACCTGGCTTGTGTTTCTTCACCACCACCAGAGATGGTGATGCAAAACATAATGGCCTTCAATACTTTGCTGCAGGGTTTGAAAGCCTGTGCGCTCAGTGTGGGAAAGAAATGAATCACCTGAAGGAAATTCATTCAGCCGTCTTATCCCTACAGAGAGCCCAACAGGACATACACAGGTAACCATTTTCTCTCATCAAATCAGTGATCTTAATGGGCTAAAAATAACTTGTGGCATTTAACTCCTTGCTGCAGTCTTTGGAGCGTCCTTATCAGCTGCAGGGGTGCAGTTAACAACTGTTTCAATAGGTAACCTATTAACACACTTGAAACAGAGAGGAAATCTGTTCCTGTTAAGACTCTCTTTATGGGCTGAAAAGCATCTCTTGGCACTCCCGACTGCAAAACCACCTCTTCTAGGCAAGAAGGCTTGGAGTCTCCCTTCTCATCAATTATGTTATATATTTGCTCTGTTTGCTGCAGAGATGCAGGTCTGTGGTTTAAAAACTGGGCTCCATGGGTGAAAAGCACTAAATTCCTGCTTTTTGTATAAATTGCTAATTGCCATCCAAGGGAAGCAGGGAGCACACCTGCTTAACCTACTGCTGGCAAAGTAGTACCTTGCCCTCCCCACAGAATCCTGTGGGGTGGGCAGGGTAGTTATTAACTGCCCTCAGCCCTGCTCATTCTTCTCTGCGTGAGGAGTGTTGCCCAACTCTCCTGAGCCATCAGCGGGATGGGATCACACACGAGGCCACCATTTCTGATTGTCACAGCCATTAGTGATACAGCTTTGGCTTTTCTCTGCTGCTCTTGCAAGTTCTTGTATTTGGGAAGATTAAGATGCACACCTCCCTCTGATGCACAAATAAACACACTGCTTACTTTCTTTTTCAGAAACCTCAGTGCTCTGAACAAAAAGTCCTTCCACAGGAAGGTCTCTTCTGAAAGCTTCCTCCTGGACTCTCGCTGTTGGTTTCTCCTCTGCATCTTTCTTACATGTCAACTATTCATTAATTATGTCTTCAAATAAAATCACTACGCTTGGCAGCAATAACGATTACTGGCTGCAGGAGGGGGGCCACTCGCACAGGGAGCACAGCAAGGCACCAAAGCACTTTAGAACCAACCCGGCAGAGGTGGAAGAAGGTTGAAGAATGAGGTTAAACAGGGACCTACGAACCTGCAAAACTTTGTTCCTGCAGATTATGTCATTTTTGCCTTTACATGTACATCTTCAAGGACCTCTTAACCTGTACGGGCCTTAATGCTGAAGCCAAATGTAGCTTTAATCGTGCAATTTGTTTTCTATGTCTTGTCATTTTCTGACACAATTCATAATTACCCAGCAGTATTGGTATCACCAAAACGGAAAACACCCCAGCATTTTGGAAAGGTCACACTGGCCTGGCTCGTAGCCCTACAAGTGAGGGAGCACAGCTGGGGAGTGGTGAAGAACTGATGGTCACGATGCCTGCTCAGCTGCCTTTAATTATGGGAGGGAGTTCACTTGGTCCAAAATATCCACCCTCTGGGATATTAAGTCATGATCTGTTTTGTCAGCACACACAGAATGGGACCTCAGGATGTGTTGTATTTTCCATTCCACGGGAACTGTAAATATGCACAATTTCCTAGAGCCGTTCCTCTTTAGGAAATGGGAGGTATTCAGTGAAAGCTCCTTGTTTGGTTAGGGAGCTGACTGGTGTCCTGGCCCATTGAGTGTAATGTCAGATACGCCTGTTCGTAAAACATGATCACTTATTATTATTGTTATTATTTGCTATATGGCTGTTTTATAATATTACACACTAGTGTTGTAGAGGGGAATCCACTGCCCCAGAGTAGGTAAGGACGGGAGCGATTTAGGTGTACATGTGTTCAGTTGTAGGCACATTTATTGTCAAAGGTCAGGAAGGAGGAAAGGTTTTGCCACTGCATTATTCAACTCTGTTAATAGTCTTCCTATTTTACACCATTTTTTAAAGATTTGCAATATTTTCTGTAGACTGCGGACATTACTAAGCCTTTCTTTTCTGGCCTGAAGTAGTTCCAAGTGGTAAGTACTGCTATATATACAGCCTTAAAATACTTAGTGGTGGTGCCAGTCTGGGCTATCTTTCAATGTAAATGTTTCCAAATTTTTAAGTACATTCCTGTCATATTCCCCAGTTAGGGGAAACTTGTTTGTGCTTGATATGTTGAAATAAAACTACACACAACTTTCAGTGGCAGTTTATCTGACAAATTATTTGTGTGTTTGAACTTGGGTTTGTATTTTATGGCATATGACAAGTGAAAACTCTTAGGCTATGATTTTTAGTGGAAAAGCTACAGGAAAAAGCCCTCAAGAACCTCAGATGTAGCCATAAGTTACAACAGTGATAGCTTTTGAATACCACTCTGGCTCAAATTGTCCATGTCTTCTAATTGTAGCAACTTCCTCAAAATTGAAGAAAAAAAAAAGGGTTGCCTTGATTTTCACTGTTGTACATGTAAATGTCCAGGCTTGTCTTCGGCTTAGAAAACCTTTATATCAGAGGGGTAACTTGATGATAGAGGATAGTTCCATGGAGAGAACCACAGCTCCCTGACATGAACAGACAGGGTAGGAGCCGGCATGCAGAAGCTGGCATTCAAGAAATAGTCACTTATAATGAAGGTGAGAGTGACTTCGTTATTAGCTAAAGAGTCCAGAAAACCAAAGGGTACTTCATCCTTGAAGAACATCAACATTATTGATCTGGATTGGGTGCCTTCTTGAGAGACATCGTCCTAGTCAACTCCTGTCTGAGAAGGTTGGACCTGTGCCACATGCGGTGTAAAATGCCGTGAGAGGGGATCCCCCTGGCCTCTGCCTGTGAAAAGCCTGTCCAGCCGCTGGTAATGCCTGCCTGGCTAGGCAAAATCCTGCGTGCACCTTCAAAGCATTTGCTCCTCATGCTGTGCAAATTCATCTATTGATTTTCTGCTTCGGTGTCCCTTTGAATGGTTCAGCAAGTTAGCACAACCTTCCCATCACACACATCCCCCTTTGGGACCACAGATTCGGATACTGATAGGAGCCTCTCCTTTTCTGTAGAGATATTTGCTTCTCTTGGGTACAAATGTATTCTGGGTTTGGGAAATAGTTAGTAAATAAATAAATAAATAAAATCCCCAAGCCCACCTGAACAAAAGAGAAACAGTGCTGAACAGGAAAGCCTTCAGTAGGTGTAAAATGAATGCTTGAAATTATTTGGATCATTTCTGTTTTACCAAATTATGCGCCTCCTGGAAGTTCACGGGGACTTGTTACTGCAGTTAAATAAAACAAACGCTGTTCACACGAGGAGCAGTTCAGTGAAAGAAACTATTAAGCTGCATAAACTAATTATGTATCAGCAGAGGAGGAGTTTCCAACATTTGCTGCTGCTGCTGCAGGGCGTTAGAAACTAATCCAAAAAGGAACAATCTATAAATCCTTGCGGCATTAATTTTAATCCAATTTCAACATCTGGAGGTGAATGTTTCTACATGCCAGTTATGTGTACATGGAGGATGAAAGCTATTCTTGAGGAAAACCGTGGACCGAAGTGCTGTTTCTCTAGGAGGAATACCCGCTGTTTAAAAAGTTGAGAACCCTTTTAGGGCTTTAGAAAACCCGGTTATACACCTAGTTCTGAAAGTTTTTTTCAGAAAAAACATCCTTTGCCCCGCCATTTCGTCATCAGTGGGTAGCCTTACAGGAAAAGCACGTGAGCTCTGGCAGGAGAGACAGGCGTGGGACCGTCCCCTGACGTGGTTCCTCCTGCTCTCAATAGGTGCAGAGCGTGGTACGAGGGCATGTCCTAAGGCATGACGTGCTCAGCGGGCCGGTAGTGTGTGCCATAGGCGCACACGCTGGCTGGGCTTGTGCCGTTTCTCTTCCCGCGGGCTCCAAATCCCGGAGAGCGGAGGGCGGCCGCG